AATAGGTAACATTAATACTTCATATAACCCCTTTGACTAGAATCCATATCTTCCTCAACCATGCCAAATAAGAAATTTCCCTCTCATTTTTCCAGAATAGATGCATATAATGTTGCATTTTATTAAGGGTAATGATTATGTTCGATAAGAGATCACTGAATAAAATACTTTCTGAGAGGTTTATAGTTTATTTTGTTTTTGTTCTTTGTTTTGTTTTTGTTTTTGTTTTTGTTCTTTTTGGTTTTTTTCCTGGTGCTAAAGAACAAAGGATGCTCCTTTTTTGTTTGCGATCAAACTGAATTTCAAACTATTTCTAATAGGGTCAGTATGCATCTGTGTAGCAGTATTGCCTTATAAGTCATTATACTTTTTTAATTTATTTATACAGCTTTAAAGGTATAATTAGAAGACATTCTTCTTATATAACATTTTTCTTTTTATATATTTCCAAAGAAAATGTTTATAATATTAAAGGCCTCTGGGCAAAGGGCATGTTTAGTTCAACATATATTTTTAGGACCTGTTATGCTTAAAATGACTATGACTTCTGAACCAAGAAACATTAGAGGAGAATTGAGAAAATATGTTTAGTTTATCTGATTTGGAAATTTATAAAAATATGAAAACATATACAAGGCTTGCTGGGGAATTAAAAGTAATTGTTCTAATTGTAATAAAATTATAATAAAATAGAATTAACATTGGAGTGTTATATTTGTCTTTCATTAATAGTTGAATTGATGTGATGATGTATGTTTTATTAAATTTGTTCAGCATTGTAGTTTCATAATGTTTTCAAACATTATTAGATCTTAGATTATTGAATAATTTTACAGTTTGAAAAGCTTTCAATTAACCTGTGAATCTCTAAAAGTTGTAATTCAACATAATTAACCTCAAAATTATAGCATTTATGTATGGTAGTGAGACAGAAAATATGTTTATTCATGTTTGAAATGCTGATGCATTCAAGTTAAAACTTCATTTTCTGAAATCTATTTACTCTGTAGGTATTAACTGTGTACTATATTAGGCATTGGATCTCATAGCAAAGCAGATATGCCCTTTGCCACTAAAAAACTTAGGGTAAAATAGTAAAGTCAGATAAGTAAACAGATGTTTATTATATAAAGTAATACTTGCAGATACACAAAGGAAGAATATCACATCCAAAATGGAATAGAAATAGGAATATTGTCACATCAGAGTTCCAGGAAGGGCATTCCACGCAGGTGGACCCACATCTGCTCGTGCCTGGAAGGTGAAAGTGAACAGAAAATGCAAACTAGTGAATGGTGCAATTAGGGAATGAAATGTGAGGAGGGGAATAATTAATCTGGAGATGTAGATAGCACCCAGACCTTAAAGAGTCTTTCTACCAAATATGGATAATTTCAACCTGTATGTTATCTGTCTGTTGTTTAGCTAGAAAGCTCTCAGTAGGAAATACAGAACTTCATTTAAAAGGCTATCAGTGGATAAATTGAAATAGCAAGGATTTTTATCTATAATAGATTTTATATCCATTCTATGTCATCCATTTAATGTGCAGATATCTCTTAGTATCTATGATGTTTTTACTTAAGGAAATTAGGAAAAATATATAAGTATCCTAAATGTATTATGTACCCAATGGAAGTCATTTTCATTAAGTATGTAGGAAGAGGAGTGATTATTGTATTTTCTTCTGAAATTTTTTTATTAATTAAATTCTTTGAATACTTCCTAAAGAGATGTGGAACTGAGTTACTCTTTTGTTTTAAATGCTGATACAACTGCAAGCAATGCTAAAAAAAAATAATAATAAAGCCATGGCATTTTTTCTTATACATAAATTTTGAAGCTATTTCAATAATAATGATAAATATTTTTACATTAATGCACTGAAGGCTGTAGATTCCCCACCAGCTGCAAATCATTATGGGTGATAATGCTCTAATTAGAGCAGAATCTTCACTGGACATTTAATGGAAGTAAATCTTGCATCACAGCTGAAAATGATATTAATTAAATCATTGTTAAGAGTGAAATCATGAAAAAATGTATTATTTTTTGTATCCACTTTGAAAAATTTAAGCTGAGAGAAAAATGAGATATTTTTAATTTGTGAAACACTTCAAGAGCTAAAATGTCTGTTTAGATTATAAGCTTTCTTCCCCCAAAGCCTTACAAGAATACTTAAATATTTTGGAAGTGATTCACACATAGGTTGATTTAAATTCAAATTCAGTGAGTGCAATTAAAAACCAACCAATAAAGCCATGTAATGCAAATCTGTTTGATTCTATATCATTTGAAGCAAAATATTAAATATTTATGAATGCATATGTGAGAGAAAATAATTTCCATTTTTGTCACATCCTTCTTCAAGGACATGAAAGTATTTTACTTGATCCATCTCATAATTGTAAGGTTGATAAAATGGAGGGCTTGTCATTTTATGTAGTATCCGTTATTGTTTAATTAGGTAGTTTGGTTTGCAAAAAACAAAATGAAACAGAGCTTGATTCCAGTTGACAAAGGGGGTGTGTACATTATAGTTAAGGACTTAAATGAAATTTAGAGACAAAGCAAAACAAAACAGGAACCAAATCATGACACATGATACCAGTGAAAAACAGCCATTGCCAGAGTAACAAGATTGACAGTACAACTAGGAATCCTTGAAGTGGAAGCATATCTGGGCTGTCAACAGCACAAGTTCTGTGGCTCTCACGCTAATGAAAGTAGTGTATATTGTGCTGCTTATGAGCTGACCCTGTGGTTAGATAAGGCTTAGCTTCTTATTCTTCCTTTATCACTTATTAGCTGAGTAACATTAGGCATGCTATCTTTCTGCTGTAATATGTCCATGGTGATGTTATCTACTTCTACAGTCAGAAGCATTAAAAGAGATAATCTGTGCAAAGGTACTTGGTGCATCAGAGTTGATGAACTGTAGCTGCCACCTTCTTCTCTTCTTTTTCTTCATCATCAGAACCCTGATATTAATATGGTTCAGCAATTTTCTATGCTTCTGCTCCTCTCAGTATGTATTCTTATTTGTCTCAACATTACCAGTTGAATTAGCTTTCAGTCAAGTCTTCAACTTTTAGTTGTGGTTTCCTTATAACTTTATTTTGTTTATAACTCTACAATGTATCCTTTGTGGTTAGCTTCCTCTGCCAATGGCTTTATTATCTCTAAACATCCAAAATCAAACTCCAAGGAGAAGATTATGTCCTGGTTGTTTTTTTCTTTTAAGTGGAGATTCCAGTGTCTGTTCATACCTTAGTTGGGTCTGTAATTCTGTTAAATGCAGGCCAATAACTCATTGAGTCCCGCGGTCTGTCTGGTGCTGGCTGATAGATGCAGTGGTGGGATATTTTACCCAGAGGACAATGATCATGGCTGTCACATGCCTATTCCATCTAAATAAATGCACATAAAAAGTTAAGATTGAACAACTTAAACCAAATTATAGAACCGGTGTGAGCAGTAAGTCTGGGTCTTGAATAATGATCTTGTGTCTCCCATCCCAATACTTTTTTGAATAGACTTTAAATAAGCTTGGTAATCTTGAAATGTTTGCACCATTACAAAATTGCTATGCAAATTATTGGATAATTGTGCTACTTATAAATTTTGTTAAAAATCCTTAAGTAAAAAATCAGAATTGTATTATTTATTCTTATAGTATAAACCTCATTATATTCCTTGTCTTGAAGAACAGTATTTTGTTTGAAAATATCTTATTTATAATTGAATTCTATTGACTTAGTCTTTCTGTTTTAACTCCTCCAGGCTGCTAAGTTGGCTACCACAGTACAAGCCTTGGAGTCCCAATGGGGGACTCTGGATCACGACGATCTACTCTGGTCTCCCGTTTGCCAATATTCAGAAGAAGTATTAGCAGAAGACATGATTCTCTTCCTTCTTCACCCTCCTCCAGTAATACAGTTGGTGTCCACAGTTCCTCTCCTTCCAGCACTAACTCAAGCTCAGGTAGTACAGGTAAACGCAGGAGCATATTTCGTACTCCGTCCATTAGCTTTCACCATAAGAAGGGGACTGAGCCTAAGCAAGAACCTACCAATCAGAACCTTAGTATTTCAAATGGTGCTCAACCTGGTCACAGCAGTATGCAAAAACTGAGTGTGGAAGAGCATATTAAAACCAGGGGAAGACATTCTGTTGGTTTTAGTAGTTCACGAAATAAGAAGATCACAAGATCTTTGACAGAGGATTTTGAAAGGGAAAAGGAGCACTCAACTAATAAGAATGTCTTTATAAATTGCCTAAGTTCTGGCAAAAGTGAGGGGGATGATTCTGGGTTCACAGAAGAACACACTCGCCGTTCTGTTAAGCAGTCCACAAAGAAGCTACTTACTAAATCTTTTTCGTCTCATTATAAATTTTCTAAGCCAGTTCCGCAGAGCCAGTCTATTTCATTGGTACAACAGTCTGAATTCTCATTGGAAATTACACAGTACCAAGACAGAGAACCTGTGTTAGCCAGAGCTTCTCCATCTTGTTCGGTGGGCGTGACAGAACGGGCAGGGAGCTCCTTACAGTCTCCATTGCTTTCTGCTGATCTTACCACAGCTCAGACGCCTTCTGAGTTCTTAGCCCTGACGGAAGATTCTGTGTCGGAAGCAGATGCATTTTCTAAAAGTGGAAGCATGGTATCCCACTGTGACAACTTTGGCCATGCTGACTCTACCTCTCAGATCTCTCCCAATCCTGCTGCTGTTACAAAGACAACGATAGACCTTATGGGAACTGTTCCCTGTGCAATTATGTCTCCTGGAAAATACAGGTTAGAAGGTCGATGTAGCACTGAATCTCATTCTTTACCAGAAACCTCTGCTGCTAATCAGAAGGAAGTGTTATTGCAAATCACAGAACTACCTGTTATGAATGGGAGTGACTCAGACACTCACCTACCGGAAGACACTCAAGGAGAGGAACATACTGTATTACAGAACGGTGAGACAATGCTGGCGACAAGCTCCCCAAGGAAGCTTGCATTTTACGAGCAACATAAAGCAATAGCCGAACGTGTTAAAGGAATCCATCCTATTTCAGATTCAAGGATAATACCTTCTTCCGGTGATCGTCATCTTTTTAACAAAACGTCATATGGATATGATGCAAATCCTGCCAAAGGTATGCTGATTTTCTTGCTGTAATAAATATAAATTATAATTTATTCAGTTTTCTTACTCTATCTCATTCATGGAAACCACCTTTTCCTTATGTTTCACTCTCTAATATTCTTTCCTATTTATAATTTTTTTAAGCCTTTTCTCTACTTGATCTTAAACTTACTTCAATTCTGTTATGCTGAAATGTAATTCAGCAGTATTACTCATTTTTCTTAGTTGTGTTGTCCAGATTTTGACCCTCAGAAGAAAGTGGAAGAAAACTAATATTATTTTCAGTGTGGCTTTATCTAAAATAAGGACTATATATTTTTAGAGTTTATGATAAAGTATTGGTATTTCTTAGTTAATGAAAGGGATATATTCATTTGGAATATATGGAGACTTGGTTCTGACCTTGCCTCTTCATTAATGACCTGTGTAACCTTGGGTATCTCCTCTTTTCTTTAAACAAAAGGGATGAGCATGAATTACTCTAGTCTGTTATTTAATAGAAAACTTTTTAATTTAATATATATATATATACACACACATATATATGTGTGTATATATATATTATTGAATATAGAAAATTATTGACTATATACATACCCCTACTGGGATGTATTTGACATTATGTTTTATTTATTTTTTTCTCTACTACAATTACTACTGCTACTGCTGCTGTTGCTACTACTATACTGTTACTACTGCCACTACTACTACTATTACTAACACTACTGTTAGTTCTCCCAACATTGAATGATTATTATGTCTCATTAGGTGTCCTGTGCTCTTTAGATATATTAATTCATTTCATCCTCAACTGATTGAAATCACTACTATTGTTGCAATGCATTATACAGACAAGACAGTTGGAGCATAGATTGGTTAAGTCATGCATCCAAAGGCACAATGTTTGTTAGTACATAATTGTTTGGGATAGAAACCCTATGAAGCAGGCATTGGTATGTTCCCCAGTTAACAAATGTGAAAACTGAGACCAAGCAGTCATACAGCCGGTAAGCAGCACAGCCCGATTACAACTATCTCAATTCAAAACTCAGGCTTTACTGGCTAGGCTGTAATACACATCATGATCCTGGGTCTTTCCAAAACATTAAAAATAATACTAAAATATAAAATAAGATTCATAAGTCAAATTGAATGTTACAGTATCAGGAATCACAAGGTTATATGATTTATTTAGCTAGTCTTTCCATGATTATAGCGATTTTAAAGTTTTAAATGTATGAATTAATTGTCCAGCTGTATAATTCTATAGCTTCATATTTTTCACATCTGATACAAGATCATTTTTATGTTTCTACCTTTTTTTTCATTTTCTTGATTTTGGTAGCTTTGTTTGTCCTTTTGGCTTTAGTTATACCTGCTTAATTCTTTAATAGCTATATAATAATAAGATGATGATTGACCTTTTTGTACACTTAATATGTGCCCCAAAAATGTGCTAAGCAGTTTGCATGCTTTATTTCATTTACTCTTAACCAAAATTTTGTGTGGCAGTTATTAATAACTAAGATTTAGGATTAAGTTAAACAACTTTTATGAAATCTCATTGTTAGAAAATGGTGGCCCTCAGATTGGAATCTAGGCAGTTTTAAAAAGAAATAACACAAAAAAGGGGTAGAAATGTAAGTATCCTGATTATCTCTAATTCTTATTTAGAAATGATGATTTTTTCCCTCAATGTCAAATTGAATACTGTATACATTTATCTCTATGGGAACTAGAAAATGACCAACAATTACCTTGCTGATTATTAATCTTTGGACTGATATCCTGATTGCAAGCTGTTCAACACATTAAAACAATTTCACTGAATTCCAAAATATGTTGCCTGTTCTTGGACATTAATTATGTATTCATATAACCTCCAACTAGTAAAATAGAAATAGGTAAATAAGCTGGTATTGTCAACAAGGAAACTGTGATAATATACTGTTATTCATTTTGTGGAGATGGTCATCTGCTATTCACAAAGATCTTATAATTTGGAAGTTTAACATTTTAAAATAGTTAAGTAAATGTATTTTATGTAAGAAAGAGTTGCTATACACACTAAATTCCATAATACTAAATTTATTCTGTATTTATTATGAAACATATTTAATCTAATATTTAATACACATTTGAATGTATTAGGTATGCAATTATATCAGAATTAATAATATAATGTTAAGATGTCTGGCAATTTGACTTTTATTTATTGGTTTAAAAAGTTATTAAAAATAAAAAGTTCTATATGTTGGCCTAATAGGTTCTAGGTTAAAGTCTTTAAGCCAGTGGATGAGCCATTCATTTATTCACTCGTTGAATCATTCATTCAATAAAAATTTGCTTTGGCACTGATTGAGGCACTAGGGACATAGCAATGAACAAAATAAGCATGAAGCTTATTCATGCTTACTTTTTCTTGAAGCTTACTTTTTACTGGGGATACTCAGACAACTAACATATAAATAAATGAATGTCATACACTAACTGCTGAGGATAAGTTTAAAGCAGAGTGAAGGAGTAGGAAGTATGGGGTGGTATTGTAGTTTATTTCTAGCTTTATTGAAGTATCGTTGACAAATAATATTGTGAAATATTTAAAATGTACAACGTGATGATTTAATATATGTGTACATTGTGACATTGTGAAAGGATTCTCTACCATTGAGTGAATTAATATGCCCATCACCTCACATAGTGACTTTTTTCTTTCCTTTTCTTTTCTTTTCTTTTCTTTTTTTTTTGGTGAAAACATTTAAGTTCTAGTGTCTTAGGAAATTTCAATTATATGATACAGTATTATCAACTATAGTCACCATGTTGTACATTAGATATAAGACCTTATTCATCTTAAAACTGAAAGTTTATACCCTTTTACTAACCTTATTTTTTACTATTCAACTGCAAACCACTTTTCTACTCTTTGTTTCTATAAGTTCAACTTTTTTTTTAAGATTCCACATGTATGTGAGTTTGTCATCTTCTATCTGACCTATTTCACTTAGCATAATGCTCTCCATGTTCACCCATGTTATCACAGATGGTAGAATTTCCTTCTTTTTTAAGGCTGAGTAATTTTCCACCGTATAATATGTACCACCTCTTCTTTATTCATTCATTCACCTCTGAATACTTAGGTTGTTTCCATCCCTTGACAGAATGCTGCTATAAACATGGTAGTACAGGTACCTCTTGGAAATAATGATTTCATTTCCTTTGCATATATGGAAATGAGATTTCTGTATCATATGGTAGTTCTCTTTTTAATTTCTTGAAGAAACTCCATAATGTTTTCCACAATGGCTTTACCAGTTTACATCCCCACCAACAGTGTGTAAAGGTTCCCTTTGCTCCACATCCTCTATGACATTTGTTATCTTTTGACTTTTTGATAAAGTCATCCTAACAGGTGTGAGGTGATATCTCATTGTGGTTTTTATTTGCATTTCCCAAACAGCTAGTGATGTTGAACATCTTTTCATATATCTATTGGCCATTCATATGTCTTCTTGGGAAAAGTGCCTGTGCAGGTCCTCTGCCCATCTTTTAATTGGATTGTTTTTGTTGTTGTTGCTGTTGTTGTTGAGTTTTATGAGTTCTTTATATATTTTGGATACTAGCTCCTTATCAGAGGTGTTATTTACAAATATCTTCTCCCATTTGGTTGGGTGCCTCTGTGTTTTGATGATGGTTTCTTTTGCTGTGCAGAAGCTTTTTAGTTTGATATAGTCCCATTCATTTAGTTTTGCTTTTACTTTCCTTGCCTTTGAGGTCAAATTCATAAAATCCTCTCTAAGACCAACTTGTTGTTTCAGGTCTTGTATTTAGGTCTTTGATTCATTTTGAATTAATTTTGCTGTGTGGTGACAGATAACAGCCTACTTTCATTCTTTTGCATGTGACTTTCCAATTTCCCCAGCATCATTTATCGAAGAGGTTTTCTTTTCTCTGTTGTATGTTTTTGGTTCCTTTGTCAAAAATTGTTTGCCCATATATGTGTGGGTTTATGTCTGGGTTCTCAATTCCATTCCATTGGTCTGTGTGTCTGTTTTTCTGCCAATTAGCATGCTGTTTTGGTTATTGTCACTTTGTAGTATAATTTGAAGTCAGGGAGTGTGATACCTTTGTCTTTGTCTTTAGGTATGGTGAGCAGGATATATTACTCAAGGTAACACATTGGCAAAAACTTGAAGGTGATTAGAGAGTAAGATATACAGATATTTGAAAGAAGTATATATCAGTACAGAGGCTGTGGTGTAAAGGCCTGGGGCTGGAGCATGTCTGCAATTTTCTAGGGATAGCAAGAGGTCTAGTGTGACATAAGCTGAGTGAAGGGGGAGGGGAGACAGCAGAGATGAAGTTAGAGACCTGAACAGATAAATGATGGGGAAGTCCCCAGTATGGGTTGGAGGAGAGAAGGGTTGTATCATTAGGAACTTGAATGACCATTGGGAAAACATCAGCTTTATGATTGGAGGAGTGATTGTGATCAATCTCTTTTAATGTTAAGAGTGTATCATTCTGGTTACCATGTGGAATGTGGACTGTGTGCTGGTGAGGGAGAGAAGGGTGGGAATAGCCAAGGGCAGGAGGCTATTAGGAGGTATTACAGTCACCCAGGCTAGCATTGACAGAGTTTGGTCCAGGATGTTAGTGAGGGAGGCGGTAAGAAATGATCAGATTCTGTGTAAAACTTGAAGGTAAAAAGCATAAGATGTGCTTATGTGATTCATATGAGGCCTGGAGAAGCCACAGATAACTCCAAAGGTTTTGGGCTTCAAAGTGACTACATGGTTAAGCAAACTAAACTACCACTATTCATTTAAAAAGTTTTCTGTGATAGAGAATTTTTGAATGACACTAAGAGCTTCCAATTTGCTTTCAATGGAACATTTATAAAAACTATATTTAAACATTTGTACTAATTTTTATTTATTTGTTTTTAATAGTTCTTGCCAGTAGCCTCAGTCCATATCGTGAAGGAAGATTTATAGAGAGACGATTGCGATCCTCATCAGAAGGAACTGTGGGGAGTAGCAGAATGATTTTGAAACCAAAAGACGGAAATGTAGAAGAAGTTAATAGTCTAAGAAAGCAAAGAGCAGGTTCGTCATCTTCAAAAATGAACAGCATGGTAAGTAAATATATACACCTGATGAAGTAATGCCACAGATATGTGTGGAAAGTGAAAACACACTGAAGAATAGACGCCTTATATTTGAAGGGAAAATTGATCTCCATAGTTGATGTCACATGTCAGAGATGCTAAGTTTTCACTTAAGATTCTCATGACAGATAAGAGCCCACCATGATAGCTACACTTTATTCCTGTCTTCCTTGGTTCATGGAAAGTTTGATGTTCTCCATTCTAGAATAAAACCCTGGGGTACACAAGCTAAGAAAAATGCTGGTCATGAGGATACCCTCTAACACCATCAGTTTTACACTGTCACTTCACTCTCCAGCCATCCTAAAACGTGTCCTTTTATAAAGCACACTGATGCCAGCCCCACCCTCAGGCCCTTGCAGTTGCCCCCTACACCAGGTGAGGAACCTTTAGGGTCAAGGCAAAATGCCTACCTAAAGTATTAATGCATTCTGGGTTAACTGAGATTCCAGATTCCTGGTCCAAACTATTGGGGCCTGCAGCTGAGGGTGGAGGTGGGCGTGTAGGGGGGTAGGGTCTGGGCTTGCACCTGCGGGCTGGGGTGTCTTAGAGGCATGTGTATGAAGCTTCCTCATCATGTGATCTAGAACCAGGGGTGAGAATTGATGACAAGTGGACTGCAGCCCAGAGGGGCCAGAAGGCTCAGGTCTCACAAATATTGGGGTGGAGTTCATTTTATTCATTTTCTGACAAATGTGCCTTTTTCAGCGTTGTCTTTGATTCCTAATGTTTAACAGTGTTTCTTTTAAATGACCTATCTACCTATCTACATACATACATGTGAAAAATGCTAAATAATTTATGACATTTTTATGTACTTTTGATATGTTTCAAATGAAAATGTTAGCGCTTCTCATTCTGACAGTTGTGTTGTGAAGAAGGCTTAAGTTACTGAGGCACCACTGAGTGATACCAAAACTATTGTACTTGAAGTTAGAAGTTCCAACCATTAGGTCAGGCTTGGCCAGATTTTAATCTTGGGCAAATCAGTAACTACAAAACAGCAAATGATAATGCGTTCCTTATTTCTATAGAGGTAGAAAATGATCATGTGTGTATTTATATTTATGTGTGTATGTGTGTGTGTGTGTGTGTGTGTGTGTGTGTGTGTATTATGTGTGTAGTATTTTATCTTTTTTTTTCTTTTGTGCTTTGAAAATGTTATATTATTGCAATAGATATTTTTTGTCTAAGAACATGTTAAGAAAGATTTCCAGTTGGTGCAACATTAAAAGTTATGGCAAATGAATTATTGTAAGACATTTCTCTTTACAAAATTTTCATTATTCTTTCATAGATTTATATTTATAATTGTGCATTATTTATTATACTTGCAAAACACTGGGCCTTTTACGTATTCTTTATAGCTCGTGTTTTTCATACTACATATAAATAATTTTACTTGTAATATCAAAAAATCACTCTACTTCTCAGGCCCACTTTAAAGATTTAAAAATTGAAATGTGAAAACGCAAAAATATAATTTTGTTCTCTTATTCGAGGCTTTTTATAAATTTTTAACAAGTGTCCTTGCAGTGATGTAGACCTTCCACTAGATGGCAGGATGACACCATTGCCATGGTAGGGGAAAGGCTATCAAAATGAGAGAAACTTTGCTAAAATATTATACATGTTAATTGGATTTACAGGTAAAACTTGTTGAAATAAATATTGAAACAGTTGAATTGTCACATCTATAAAAAATTACTTTATGACTTTACTGTTTTCTTTTGGATTTTGTAACCAATATTTCATCCTTCAATTAATTTACAGTTTAATAGTTAATTTAAAATGCACAAAAATATAACCTTTAACTCATAGCAATTTGAAGAAGAAATGCTAGGATTCTTTAGGCAATTTTAGCTGTATGTGAAACAAGTGACATGTATTTAGGAAATTATAGCTTTATGTGTGAAAAGTGACATACGTTTTCTAAAATCCTCTTTCAAAATAATTCAAGTGGATATATGTATTTAAGAATATACCTATGGTTCAGCTATTCTTTTCTTTTAGAGCAATAATAATAATAACGTGTAAATTTCCTGTCAAGATGAAGAAGTAAATGCTGTGCTTGCCTCCTATTATGACCATATCACAATTACAATTAAACTACAAAACAACCATAATTAAGAATTGCCTGAAGTCTAGCTGAACCAAAGTCCTAAGGGAATACAGAAGAAGCCACCTTGAGACTGGTAGGAGGGGCAAAGACATGGAACAGACTGGTGCCACAGCCACATGTAACAGTTAAAAATTGGGAGATATGAGGCATACCTTGGCTGCAGAGGTCCCCCCAGAGGAGTGAGGGGTCCCAGCCCCAAAACAAACTCCCCAGCCCAGGGATCCAGTGTTGGGAATAGAATTTCCCAGAAATTCTGGCTGTGAAAACCAGCAGCGATTGTTGCTGAGTGAGATGGAGGGCAGCGTGAACCCCAGGCAATCCTCTTAAAGGACCCATGCACGGACTTACTCACTGACCAACTTGCTCTGAGCTCCAGCACTGGGGCAGCACCAGGGATATGCAGAGAGGAACTGAGTTTTCTGGCTTCAGAGCAAGGCGTAGACAGGCAGCTATGTCCCTGATAGAAGTGCTGGTAGAATCCATTGTTACTTTGTTGAGTCCTCCCCTTTCCTGGCATGCTGCCACTGGCAGCCACCATATCTTTGTCTCCATCAACCTGGCTAACGACGTTTGTTCATCCTGATTCCCTGAGACCCCGCTCCACCCAACTTGTGGGCCCACCAAGCCACTTCTGGTGGCTTTTCCAGACAAATGACCCATCTTGGCTCATGCTGTGGATATTCCTGAAATCTCTCAAAGGTTCACAAAACCCAGACAAGCAGCATCTGAACTCAGGCTATTCTGCACTTCTTGCTGAGCAGCCCCGAGCCCAGCACTAGCAGCAGCCAGCCTGAGTTCATGGCTTGGCCTCTCAAGGCACCGCCAATCTCAGCACTGGTGGTGACCATGCAGGTGGCCCAGGGCAGGGTACAGGCTGCAGCTGAACTTGGCCAGTGGCGGGTTTCCTCCCAGGAGGCCCTGGGGCTGGCATGCCAGGTGGCCAGCTTTAGACCAAGCTGGAACTTCACCCAGGCACCTCCAAGGAAGACACACCAAAGGGCAGACTGGGCAGGCACCAGAGCCCTGCTAAAGTGCATCCTGCCTGGTAGGGTCAGACCCTGCACAACAGCTCCTCCACTGTAGTCACTGCCAAGTCTCACAACCAATCAGTCTGAGGGTCAGTCGCTCCCGTTGACATACAAAGAACAGCCAAAGCTGAAGTACAACAGGAGGGCACATACATCCCACACAAGGGACACAGCTGGAGCCCTCAGCTTCAGTGACTAAGAAGACTGCTGCTGGGCTCCACAGGACACCTACTACATAAGGCCGTTCTACTAAGACTGGGAGGCATAGCAGCCTTACCTAACACATGAAAATAAACACAGGGAGGCAGCTAAAATGGGGAGACAGAGAAATATGTCCCAAATAAAAGAACAGAACAAAGCTCTATCAAAAGAACTAAACAAAATGGAGACAAGTAATCTACCAGATGCAGAGTTCGAAATACTGATTGTAAGGATGCTCAATGCTCTCAGGGAGAATTTCAACAAAGAGATAGGAAACATGAACATAGAGATAGAAAACATAAAACAAACAAACAAACAGACAGCCAGAAATGAAGAGTACAATAATGGAAAAGAAGAATACATTGAATACATTAGAGGGAATCTACAAAGCAGGGGACTGAATTAGCAATTTAGAAGATAAAGTAGCAGAAATCACCCAATCAGAAAGAAAAAAAAATCAATAAAATGAGGATAGTTTAGGGGCTTCTGGGATAAATAACATCAAATGTACCAATATTCACATCACAGGGGTACCAGAAGGAGAACAAACAGAGCAAGGAATTGAAAACCTATTTGCAGAAATGATGACAAAAAACTTCTCTGACCAGGTGAAGGAAATACACATACAATCCTAGTAATCACAGAGAGTCTCAAACAAGATGAACCCAAATAGGCCCACATCAACACACACCAGAATTAAAACACCAAAGGTTACAGACAAAGCAAGAATCTTAAAATCAGCAAGAGAAAAGCACTTAGTTACCTACAAGGGAGTTCTCATAAGATTGTCAGCTGATTTCTCAATAGAAACTTTGAAGGCCAGAAGGGATTGGCACAAAAAATTAAAAGAGATAAAAAGCAAGGACTTACAAACAAGATTACTCTACCAGCAAAGCTATCATTTAGAATTGAGGGGCAGATAATAGAGCTTTCCAGGCAAGAAAAAGATAAAGGAGTTCATTACCACCAAATCAGTATTACAAGGAATCTTAGAACCATTTCTTTAAGACAACAACAACAGCAACAAAAGATAAAAAATATGAATGATAAAGTGGCAATAATTACACATCTGTCAACAATTACTTTCAATGTAAATGATTTAAATGCTTCAATCAAAAGTCAGGGGGGCTGAGTAGATAAGAAAACAAGACCCTTACAGTTCCTGCTTACAAGAGACACACTTCAGATTGAAAGACGCACACAGACTGAAATTAAAGGGATGGGAAAAAGATACTTCATGAAAATAGAAACAAACAAACAAACAAAATACACAGAGACTGAAAGTAAAGGGTTGGGAAAAAGATATTTCATGAAAATGGAAATGAAAAAAATAAAAGCTGGGGTAGCAACACTTACAAAAGATAAAATAAGCTTTAAAAAAGGCTATAATAAGAGACAAAGAAGGACCCTGTAATTTCATTTCTGGGTATTTATCTGAAGGAACCCAACATGCTACTTTAAGGGGACATGTGCATCCATATGTTCATTGCAGCATTGTTTACAGTGGCCAAGATGTGGAAGTGAGTCTCTGGGTGTCTGTCAATGGATGAATGGATAAAGAGGAGGTGGTACGTTGTATATACAGAGGGTGCCAAAAAAAAGTATACATATTTTAAAAAAGGAAAACTGTTAAAATTGTAATTCTC